TTGTATTCATATGGAGCACAAAGTGGAGGATGCAACATCAGTTTCATGGCTCAAACAGGTCTCACTGCCGGACTATGAAATTTAAGAAAGAGAAGCAGAGACAGTGCTGGGTGGGTACACAAAGAGCACATAACTCTTAATTCTTAAACAAGGACCTGTAAGAAATACCAAAGTTGTTCAACAATAATTATTATTCAATCTTAATATAAAACTATGCACCTGTTTCTTGTCTCTTGTACTTAGATTCACACATTCCAACCAAGAAAACAGAAAAGAAATAAGACATTTTGAAAATGTGAGACATCTAGGCACTAAATTTGTAGAAAGACAAATTAATTGCTGTACCCAGAACAGAAAGCAAACACTGGAGGGCAAATTAAGACAGCTACAGCTTAGGCCCTGTATGTAAGTAAGGAATTTCACAAGAGGTTTCTTTTAATCATAGCTGAGTTTTGACACTTCAGACAGGCTGTGATGTTCTCACTGTAAAAATGCTATTAACAGCATATCCCTAAGCACAAGGCAAAAGAACAGTTTGGAAACAAAGGTTCTCTGTATTTCAAATATAGTTGTGGCTCTGTATAGTTAAACATTCATTTGAAGGTAAAATGCATAACATTTACTGAGAGCAGACAGAATCAAAGGTACAAAATGCAACAAAGAAATCTAAAACATTTAACATGCTATTTTCAAACAAGATACTGTAATAATTTGTACTTAAAGTGAAGTCGGTCTTTGAAGAATAAAAACATCTGATCTCTAGACTTAAACCTAAGTTTTTTAGAATCAACACATAGATGCATTTCAAATGTAAGTACCATAGTATATAAAATATTCCCACCTGTGAGAAGTGTTTCCCACAAATGTTACATTCAAAAGGTTTCTCACCTAAAAGAAGAAACAGAACATAGAACTTCTAATAATTGCAATACAACAGAAATGTTTTAAATTGCTACATTTCCTTTTAAAATATGTAATGTAAGAGTAAAATCACAGAATCATAGAATTTTAGGGGTTGGAATGGACATTAGAGGTCATCTAGTCCCAACCCCCTGCCCTGGGCAGGGACACCTCCCACCAGAGCAGGTTGCTCAAGGCTCATCCAACCTGGCTGTGAACACTGCCAGGGTTGGGGCAGCCACAGCCTCCCTGGGCAACCTGGGACAGTGTCTCACTACCCTCACAGGAAAAAACTTTTTCATAATATCTAACCTAAATTTCCCCTCTTTCAATTTGTCCCCATTGCCCCTTGTCCTGTCCCTGCAGCTCCTAACACAGATCCCTCTGCAGCTTCCCTGGAGCCCCTTCAGTTCCTGGAAGGTGCTCTGAGGTCTCCACACAACCTTCTCTTCTCCAGGCTCAACAGCCCCAACTCCCTCAGCCTGTCCTCATAGGGGAGATGCTCCAATCCTCTTATCGACTCCGTGGCCTCTTCTGGACTTGCTCCAACAGTTCCATGTCCTTCTTATGCTGAGGATACCAGAACTGCACACAGTAAAAAAAAAAAAAAAAATCCCTAAAAGGACACTTACCCATGTATTTAAGGGGAAATTCAAGAAGGATGTACAGCATTTACCATTAAGCTTGTACAGCAGACTTGCTCAGAAACAATTTATCTTTCAAAACAAGTAGGTAGAAGAGTTTTGATATGAATAGGTTTCATTGTTTGTAAATACTTTTTTTCCCCACAAGAAAGGGATATCACTGCCAGGAAGAAGAGATGACAAGGTCCTACAGGAACAACAGCAATGGGAAGTGCCCCTGTTTATTCACTTGCACAGAGACACATTCCTAAACAGAAGAAGGAATGCAGAGAAGGTAAGTTGGAAGGATTCTGTTTTCTGATTTCAATGTGCACCATAGCTCAGGATGTAACCATTCACTGCCAGCAAATACATTTGCCTTCAAATTCTCTTCTTATATAAGAGCATCTGAAGATTAACCCAAGTGTTTTCCTCCAAAAATTCTGAATTTATACATATAAAACTGGTATTCTTGAATCTCCAAAAGCTTATGAGCAGTCTAGTAAAAAACTAGTGCAGCCCACTTTAGCTCTTCAAAATCACTTGACTCTCAGTCTAGAATGTGACTGCACAATACTTCAATAACCTTTTCTCCCCTACAGTATTTCATAAAGGTGTTTTTTCCTCTGTTTAGTTTGTGCTTTCCTAGTTCTACACTGCTGATAAAATTCTCTGTGCATCTTCTAGAATTTTTAGAACAATAATAGTACTCAAATACCACTGAATTCGATGACAGTCAGACCTGTAATCATCATTCCTAAGTCTAACTGTATGTTTAAGGAACATACGGCCCACAGGTACAGGGAAACAAAACCAGTGTACATCCATGTGATTCTGAAAGATATTTCCAAAAGAAAAGAGATCTTAAATTGTGTTTCTTCTTGGTGCTGCTTCAAAAAATCTATCTAAAGATTCTTATTTACTTTTTAAAGTATAATTTTCCTGACTTTACAGAACACCTCTTGGATTCTCTTACAGCAAGAATTCTCTACATCAGCATTCTTCCTCCATCCTTGGAAGTGTCACAAGCAACATCTACCATATCCTGGGGTTGAGGTTCCATTTTCCTTTCCTGCTGCCAGATACAGATGAAGTTCTTTCAACATATTTTAGGATCAAGGACTAAATGCAATTCTTTTTAGATTTTACAGCACACAGTAAACATACAGTTCTGTGGCTTCACAGAGAGCAACCTTACAGTTAGTCTGACAACTTGAGGCTCTATCTACTTTTCTACTTCATGAGGAATGGAAATCTTCTGGCAGTTTTAAGAAAGCTTTTATTCAATTAAAGATAAAAATTATGAAACCAGAAACTCAACTATAAAGTAACTCAACTATAAAGAGCACTGATGCTTGATTTCATCACAGACCTAAACTTGCAAAACACTAAATATTCTGGTGCTGACAACACAAATATAAATGAAACCACCAGGGAGCCAGATCTATAGCATCTGGGAAGACTTCTGACAACTGTAAAAGCATCGAGGTAATTTGAAATAGAGGATAAAAAACACTAGTAGCAATTTTTTCAGAAATTACATCCTCAAGAAAAACTCTTGACACAAAGACTAGTATCTGAACAGAAATCCACTCTGAAATGACAAGAGGAGGGAGGTGGGAATTGGAGCCTCAAATTTCTCCAAAGTATTTTTGTGAGCTGCATGCAGCCTCATTATAACTGTACTGATGCACAAAGACTTGGGAGTTTTTCCCCCATGATAAAGCAGAAAGATTTTGTTTGAAAAAACCTCATCAAATTAGCTTTTGGAAAACAATTCTGCACCTGGATAAAATTCCAAACCACTGGGCATATCAAGTAACCTATTTCAAGAATGAATTCCAGCAAAAATATGACGTTACTCACAGTGTTGTAGCATCCCTCAGGCAAAGTGAGGCTAATTCTGAGGGTGTATTAGTAAGAGAGCAGCTAGTAAGCTGAAGATTCTTCTTCTCTGCCTATCACTGGTAAGACCGTATCTGGAGCCTTGAGAAGGCAAACAGGAAACCTGACATGCATGGGAAGACAGATGCAACCAGGTTGTTCTTGGTACACAGTCTTAGCACAGGAGGTGACAGACACAGGTTGGATCATGAGAAATTCTGATTTTAACCCATGAGGGTGGTCAAACACTGGAAGTGATTGCCTGGAGAGGTTGTGGAATCTGTCCTTGAAGATACCCAAAATCTGACTACACAAGGTCATGAGCAAAACAACCCATTCTACTTTAATGTGCCTTGAGCAGAGCACTGGACTAGATTACCTCCAGTGATCCATTCTAATCTAAATTATTCTATGATTCTACAACTGTCAATAAATTCCAAACCAAAAACCTTAGCTGAGAACACTAATCTTCTCAAAGACCATGGCTGGATTAATGGCAATAGAGAAAATTCGAGGAAAAAGTAGTAACTGAACTACAATTAAGACAATGCTTAAACAAACATCCAGGAGACTTTACTTTGAACCCTTGGATTGCCTTGTGTTTTCTGTCTTCTGTTGGATCCTTCTTGTACAACACCCTGCAAGAAGAGATGAAGACAAAGTAGACAACACTGGGATGAAAGCAGTGGTGTGTGTCAGCTCCAGAGGAGAAAGGCATGAAGGCAGAAGTGGTGTTCCTGAAGACATCACAAAGGTAAGGAGCAGGACCCACAAAGGCATGCAATGTTGACAAGTTACTCAAGAAAAGCTCAGAATGAAAAGCTTGAAGAGCAACAATGTATTCCATGACAGTGTTACTCTGCTCCTGTTGTATTCCATCTTGCCAAGAGTTCTTTCCACAGGGTTGGGTTTATTTTGGGTTGTTTTTTGAGATGTTCTCTGAAAATAATTTTAAAAAACCCCAACAAAAACACTGGATGTTACTGGACAGGTCTGAACTGTATAAGGGAGACAGACTTGCTTCCTTTTTTTTCAGACAGGTCAATATAACAAAATCCAAATGACAACATTCAGTCAAGTCAAAACCAATCATCAACTCAATGCAGTAAGCTCTGTTTAGAGATTCCCTTAAGCATCCACTAGCAATATCCACTAGACATGCCAGCGCAAGGCCTTGTGTTGAACACAGTTGGGCTGTTTTCACAGAGAAAACTCATCAATGCAGCCATGCTAACCAGTCAATTCTTTAGGAGTTCTCAGTGTTCAGGGACAGAGATTTTCACACATGCTTTTTCCTGCCATCCAGGCCACCACAGCACTTGTGTTGAAAGAATTGCCATTTGTGGGTTAAAACCAGGTTTGCCAGTGTGAAAGGTCCATTTCAGTAATTTGCTCTCTTCATCTCTTCAGCAAAGCCAGACTGGGAGGACTTTCAGTAAGCACTGTAATACTGAAATGCTTGCTAACCCTTTTGCTTAGCTCTGGAAAACCAATGTTTTCAAATAAATTTGAGTAGCTAGCAATCTGCTAAGCTTTCTGAGGTGGCAGATGAATGGAAATGGCTTTCAGCATACACTTACATTATTAATTACCAGTGTATCTAATATTAATGACACAGGTGTGTCCTGTACTTCCAGCCACAGAGCCTTCCTATATTAACATCCTACTCACTATCCACTGCAATTTTCCAAACACCCTTTTGGAACGGCTGGATATTTAAAAGCAAGTTAATGTGACCCAAAAATAAAAGGCAAGCAATCAGGCATTTCTAGTCACATTCTTGCCTCAGTTTTTCTATCCTTTCATGTGTTTATTATTCGTTAAACCTAAGCTCTTAAACTTTTGTCAGATTAGCACATCTATGTAAGACTGTTCATGCCACATTAAATTGCATTCAAGTCTGGAATTTTTTTGAAAATTACTGGAAGAACATGGTGTATGAAAAGCAGCAGGGAATTCCTGAGTCTTGGGGTCTCTCTCTCATATAGATCCTCAAGCACAAACTCACACCTTACTGACTTCAGTCTCTCCCTCATTTGTTACTTTTCTAGATGCTCTATCGCTTATTTCCCTGAAATTTCTAGGATATTTAAACATACATGATGTCAGCTCAAATTGAATAACATTCAAGAATGTACAAGGCAAAGAGAGGATCAAGGTAAGAGACATATGCAACTCTTTCACAGGACACCAAATTAAAAGAAAAAAGTATTAGTACCATGAACACACAGAAGTAGTCAAAGATAACAATTGCAAAATGTTTGTATTTTCAGATTCTGGAAAGATTTTTCTGCTAATAACATGGAAAAATAAACTTTTAATACTAAGGATCAATTAACAAAATAAGTTCATGCCTGCTAAGAAGGTTTCATATTTAGTGTCAAAGTACCAATACATGCATGCTCATTTGCAAAGTGATATTTATTTGACAAGACAGAGAGATGGACTTGTATATTTAATACAGGGAAAAGGAAAAAATATTCAACAGCTTAATCAGGAAAAATGCCATCTCAAGGACTTGGAATCAATGATGTTACCTGACTAGCTAAGGTAACTCTTAAAAACTGGTTTAAAAACTATATCTAATAATCATAGAATCACAGAACTTTAGGGGTTGGAATGGACCTTAGAGATCATCTAGTCCCAACCCCCTGCCCTGGGCAGGGACACCTCCCACCAGAGCAGGTTGCTCAAGGCTTTAGCAACCTGCAAGACAATCTCTTTAATTGAAATATTTGGTCTGCAGACCAAGTAACTGATAACTGTACCTGTATGAGACCTTTTATGGAGCTCCAAATTGCTTGGATGTTTGAAAGCCTTCCCACATAATTCACAAGTATATTGTCTCTGCGACTGAGGAGTCTGTGATTGTCCTTCTTGTTCCAAAGGACCTTGAGATCTTTCCATTTCAACAGTTTGTTCAAAGTTCTCAGAATTCACTAAATCTTCAGCTTCTTTTTCCTCAGTAACTCTAACATTTGTCACATCTGTGGTACTTTCATTTACAGGTTCAACTGCTTCTGTTATTCTACTGTCATCTCTTTTAGGCTCAGGTGGCTGCTCTGCAGATTTCTGAGACCTCAGAAAATTTAGTTTTTTGAGGTGTATTGCCTTTTTCAGCCTCATCTGTTTGGTGGGCTGCACAAGTGTGCTTCCTGCATCTTGCTCTGGAGCAGCTTCATTCACAGACTGAACCAGAAAGTTGGATGGTAAATGATCAGAGGTTTCCAGAATACACTCAGAGTGATTAACAGGGCAAGGATTATTCTCCACTGTGTTGACTTCTGTGGCTGTGTTGTAAGGAAAGGATGGCTCTGCTCCCCTCTCAGGATCAGAGCAAGCAGTTTGTTTATAGAACTGCTTACTGTAGAAGTTGCGGAGTTTGTAATAGTAAGTTGGTTGTTTAAAGGGAAGCTCTGGGCAGTTGCCATCTAAGGAGTCTTGTGGCTGTTTCTGTCCATCACCTGAGGATGTGTGAAGATTAACAGACTGTGATGGATGGGAATGCTGGTCAGCCAAGCCTTTATTAGCCTGGGTGTCAGATGAGCACTCATGCAGTAGGTTTGTTCCATAACCATCACTGGCACAGTTAGTATCAGTAGTCAAAGGGTTCTGCAGTGAAAAGACACTGTTACAAGGCATGTTGGCTGCCTGCTCTACAGCTGGAGAAGATTTTAAAAAGGTATGGCAAATGTTCAGCACGTTTTGCACTTGGAGACACTGTGCAATGTCCAACATAGCTTGTACATTGTCCTGGCTAAGATCCAGGTGAGATGTGTACATGAAGTCCAAGATCTGGCCAATGCCACCTACATTTTTAATGTCCAAGTGAAACACATCATTCTTCTGGCCTGAAGAATTCTGGAAAAGGGTCCTGATAAAATAAGGCAAATATTCAAATACAAACACAAATAATTTGCAAGCACTTTAATAAAAACCACCACATACACCTCAAATAGACTGCCTGGTATGAAACAACAATTTACACTCTCAGGTCTTACCTAGACTGCTGTGTCTTTGCAGATGATTATCTGAAAACTCCTCAGTTACTTGTCTTAAATGTTAGCCCTACACTAGTGCACTTAAGCATAAACCAAAGCAAATTATTATTTATATAACCTCTATTTTGTACTTTTCAATGTTTTCAATAACACTCTATCCCTGTGGTTTCCTATCCACAGTTCTCCACATATTACATGCAGTGGTGCATTTGTGGACTATTTGCAAAAGTTGGTTGACTCAGAATAGTGTTTCTCCTTTCATCATGGCAAATAAAATAGGACATGAGAAATTTTCTAGTAAAAAGGAGAAGACAGACCTCAAAGCCAGCTAAACTGTTCTCTCCTGGCAACTGAGCTTGTCCATGAAACTCTATCAGTAAACCTTATTAAGGTTCCTAGTTCTTTCTTCACAAATGCAGAAGAGGACAGCAATATTAAACATGATGAAACAAGCCATGTTATTTGGAAGTGGTAACATTTCACCTGGCTCTGTTCATGTCCTCTACTATGCTCCTTTCTCTTTTCTTACTGAAATACTGAATGCAGGTCCATGCCAGAATCCTTTATAGGAGGCACTATAAGCAAGCAAGGATCAAGAAAATGCCAAAAAAACACCAGTGTAGTATGAATGCTTGACACAGATTTATCTCTGGACAAACAATTTCACTTTTCTCCTTAGTTATTCAGTGTGCATCTACCAGAAAAAAAAATACCCTTCTCAGGGAAAACCTCAACCAACAGCATTTAGGTAACTTTTTAAAAGGAGGATTTTTTTGTCACATACCTGAAATATTGACTGAAAGCAGCTAACACATTTTTGTGTGCTTTGAAGCAGACACCTTTGACCACCAGCATGCAGTCACAGAGAAGCCCTTGAATTCGCTGTTCGTGTAGCTGCTGGAGAAGATGACAACTATGGCTAGCAACAGTGTCCATGCTAGAAAACCACTTAAATTACCTACAATGAAATAAAATGCTAAGATAAATTTTAAATATTACATTGCAAAATTAATTTAGAATGTTCAGAACATTTTTACGACTTGCTTTAGCTCCCAAAGGTAACAGACTTCAGTTTACATCTGCAATGTAAGCCCTAATGACTTTTCTCTGATTAAAGTCACAATAATGTTCACCACTAGATACACATAAGAAATACTGGTTTTGATGAAGTTTTGCTTACAACAAAGAGCTTCATGGTATTGCCAATAAACAGAACATCGTAACCACAAAAAAACTGCACCTCAATTTTGACAACTTCGACAAGAATTAGATTCTAAGGCAAAAACATCTCACACCTAGAAAACCAATAGTATTCATAGAGGAAAACTTCAGTTTCTTCACCCTCTAAACTGAAAAGGGACAATATAGTGCTAGTATTATTTAAGACAGATTTATTGCTGTTCTAGCTAAGTACAGTTCACATGTGGGTCTGATTAATTAGACACTTTAATATGGTATTGTTTTAAATACAATGCAATGTCTAAATCAAAAAAATGCTTTCTTTGAACAGGTTGGAAAGACAAGTAACATTCCCACAGAACATGTTTAGATACAATTCTATACTTCCTTTTTAACAAAGACGTAATTGCACTTGTAAATATTGAAATTCCAACTATTAGGACAATTTACACTTCTAGTCTTCTAAGTAATGAACAAAGCAGGAAAACCACCTTGGGTTAAACACAACCACAAAGTGGTCGCCCCCACCCTCAACTCTCATGAGCACTAAAGGTTCCACGTTTTAATTTATCCTCTTCCTCTGTGACTCACTGCCTCCTGCTGTATTACATCTTGGGCTGTTTCATTGTACTTGTTCTCTATTAATGCTTATCATGTCTTTTACCAAGCCTTAAAATAAAGAAACCACACCTATTCATAGAATTTTAGGGGTTGGAATGGACCTTAGAGAGCATCCAGTCCCACCCCCTGCCCTGGGCAGGGACACCTCCCACCAGAGCAGGTTGCTCAAGGCTCATCCAACCTGGCTGTGAACACTGCCAGGGCTGGGGCAGCCACAGCCTCCCTGGGCAACCTGGGACAGAGTCTCACCACGTGCACAGGAAAACACTTTTCCTAAGATCTAACCTACATTTCCCATCTTTCCCTTTGACCCCATTGCCCCTTGTCCTGTCCCTGCAGCTCCAAACACAGTGCCTCTCCGATATTTGCCAGATAATTGCTTTCTCCGTGTACACCTCCCACCGCAGCATCCTGCAAACACTCAGACAACCAGCGAATTGCCCCTCTCGGCCATCAGGAGCCTGTTCCCAGCGGGAAGGGCAAAACACGGAGAGCTGAACACGGAGCCCCTGCAGCACAGTGACTGTGCGTGTTTGGGCTCCCCTCGGTCCTGCCCGGCCGGAGCCCAGGCTCGAGGCGCCGCAGGGACAGCGGGAGGGACAGCTCTGCCCCGAACGGGGCACAGCGCGGCGAGCGGGGCGGGGCTGGAGCTAACCGGGGAACGGGCACGGGAACGGGCTCGGGCAGG